GATTTCCTAGTGTGCCTGCCTTCAAAGGTATGAGATAAACCTTGTCTATTATTCAGTGATCACCGAGCCAAAATTGACGGATTGATGCTCAGCAACCCAAGGCCGCCGCCTCATCTACCGCCTCCCAAGTTCCCTCCACCCCGGCTGCCCGAGCTCCTGTGTCAACACCCGCTCCTCCCCCAGCTCCTCATGCTGCCGCTGCTCCTCCCCCTTCTGCCGTCCCCGCGACCCCCTCCCCGGCCGGTGCGGCTCCGGCTCCATCCAGCGGTCCCGCCTTCGGAGATCCTTCCGCTCTCACCATGGGCTCTGCCGCTGAGGGAGCAGTTGTCCAGATGGAGGCAATGGGATTCGCACGTACCGATATCGACCGTGCCATGCGCGCCGCATTCTACAATCCTGACCGCGCCATCGAATACCTTCTAAATGTAAGCTTTTGTTGGAAGTGTATTCCTTGAATCTTTGCTAATTATCACGACAGGGTATTCCTGAAGTCATCCAGGAACAGCAACAACAACAGCGACAAGCCTCAGAGCCAGCTCCTACCGGCGCTACTCCCGCTGCTCCTGCTGCTCCTTCCGGTGGTGATGAGTCGCACTTCAACCTCTTCGAAGCTGCCGCTCAGGCCGGTGGTGAAGGTGGTGGCCGATCTCGCGGTGCTGCTGGTGCCGGTGCCGCTGGTGGTGAAGCTCTCGGCAGTCTGGAGTTCCTGCGCAGCAACCCCCATTTCCAACAGCTTCGTCAGCTTGTTCAACAGCAGCCTCACATGCTCGAGCCCATCCTGCAACAGGTCGCCGCTGGGAATCCTCAGATTGCGTCAATCATCGGACAGAACTCCGATCAGTTCCTGCAGCTTCTAGGCGAGGAACTCGAGGACGAGGAGGGTGCTCTGCCACCCGGCGCGCAGGCCATCTCGGTTACGGAAGAGGAGCGCGATGCAATTGAGCGTGTATGTTGAGAAAACCCCTCTATTTCATAGTTTCTTATAACTAACCCACAACCAGCTGTGCCGTCTCGGCTTCCCTCGCGACTCCGTCATCCAGGCCTACTTCGCCTGCGACAAGAACGAGGAGCTCGCTGCCAACTTCCTCTTCGATCAGCCCGACGAGGAGGAGCAGTAAAGAATTATATGTTTTCTCTCGACTTCTCATCTTCTTCCCTTAACTTTTCCCCCTCTAACGTTATGTTCTATGATGAATACCAAGCATGCTGCTGTTTGAATTGATTCCCATTTCTCCTCACCCCGGACCCCTTCCTATGAATACGACCCAGTGCTCAGCTTGGCATCTCTGAGTTTCTGCTTGCTGGGTGTGAACTTGGCTTCTTCGCATCCCGCTGTTCCCTCTCTCCAATACGTCAGTTATGTATTTACCTTAATGGGCAAAATGGGACCTGTTCGCTGCACATAGAGTATGTGAGTAGTTGTTCAACATTGTAAGCAGGATAAGTGGCAATCTTCGATCTGGTCATCTGCCATGGAGTGATTTTCGTTGGTGGTCACGCGTATTTTATATGCAGGTAGACATGTGCAGATGACCTGCGAATGGTTGGAATGTATATATCTATCCGCATAATGGAAGAAGTTTATATCCTCCACTCGGTACTTGAAACAGTGGAGACCGCCTAAATCGCTAGAGTAATATATCCTCGTAGCATTCATTACAAAGTATGTCGTTCCATAGTCTTGAGTTGATATATATATAACCCTTATCGCCCCTTATCAGATATTTATTTGAAGGTTGTCTCTTTTGGTTGTCTTTTTAAATGTCTTCCCTCCCTATATATTCATACATATCAGATCTAAGACTGAGATATTCGAATTGAGTGGCGTCTCCAGACCATAACCCAGCTGACCAGCCTAGACGGGAATAAAAAGTCAATGAATTAATTGAACAAGTACTACTTACATGTAGGTAGAGGTAAGTACAGAACCCAAAGATATCAACTCAATTCACGCCCATCCCCAATGCAAAAGGTATCTTATGGACCCAGTAACCCTAACATGCACCGAAAATATTCAGAGAAAAAAAAGAGAGATCGCAGTCCAAATCAAAATGAGAATGTAGTCCCCAAATACAGAAGATGAACAAAAATCCATGAATATAGTACAATCCATGAACAAGAAGAATCAGAGGCAAAAGAAAGACTTATTTGCAAGATCTCCGTACAGACCAAACACCCAGCCCACGGCGCCCAATGACCCGTTTCAGAGTCGGCAGGATTCCATCATCGCCAAAGTCCATATCATCGAGGTTAAGGTGTTTGCGATACGACCAAAGTGGATGAAGTTGCAAGTTCTGGTCTCGGCTCTGGCGCGTAGACACGGCGTATTGATCGAGGAAAGTAGCTGATGTAGGCGCGACTAAGAATACAGAAGATGGAATAGAGCAGTCAGGTACAACCTGCTCTAGCTGCTGCATCATCTCCACACCTGGAATGCCCATGAGATCCAGCGTCTGGATCTCGGTGGTCTGGTTGTCACCACCGAGAAGCCACAGCGGTGGTGAGTATGTCTTCCACCAGAAGACCGTCGCGGAAGGTATGTGGTGTGTTGTGCTGGACGAGACGATGTCGCGCATTGCTAGCTGCGTGGGGACGACGCCGCCTTGGTGGTACACGCCCATGAGGAAGCCCATGGCTGCGTTGAAGATGACCCACACGGCGAGGAGGAGGCGGGAGGGGCGCATGGGGACACAGCTAAGGAGGAGAGGCACGACTGGGAGGAGGAAGCGTGGTTCTTGGTGTGGGAACAGGGAGAGGAGCATCGTGGCCGAGAGCGCGGAGAGGGCGCGCACATTGCGCATCCAGTATGGAACCAGTGGCCAGCTGAAGAGAGAGACTAGCATGGCTATGTAGGCTGGTCCGAGGAGTTGGAGGAGGTTTGCGGTGAAGTGTTGGTGGTGGGGGTGGAGGCCGTGCTGGGCTAGGTTGGCAGTGTCGGTGTTGTAGAGTAGGTTGTTGAGGGGAGTTATTATGGGGTTGCGGAGGGTGCTGAGGGAGGCTGTCGGTCGGTAGAATGCTGTGTCTGCGTAGACTGCGATGAAGGAAAAGAGGAGACCAAAGAGGAGGAATGCTGCGAGGGAGAGTGGTCTGGTGCGAATGCGGGGTTAGTATATGTGCATTGGTTGAGGCGGTGGAAGGGAAGGGTATATAGATCGACGGACTTGCGCTGGAACTGAGGCAGCAATTGCAGGCCTGGGAATAGTAGGAAAGCCGGGAAGGTGATACGGTTGAAGACGCCCACCACGGCGATGAAGGCAAGCACAGCGTGGGAGAAGAAGGACGAGTGTCGCTGCGAATGAAGTTAGCGTGAATTATGTGCATTTGAAGCTTTCTCTCTCGCACCTTATTCTCGACAATGCGCCGAATCAGAACGAGCCCCCAGGCAACCAACAAGGTCTCGAGGCTGTTGGAGAATGTGTGCGTCTGATATGTCCAGGTGACATACGACGAGGCCACCAGCACCACTGTCGCGCGCCGATGACGCGGGGAAGGAACTAGCTCATAGATCGCCCAGTCCTCCAGAACAAAACTTAGTAGGAACATTCCACCGCGCAGCGCATAGTAAACTAAGTGGGGTGGGGTGCCCGACCCGATCTCAGTATAAAACCATTTCAAGAGGCTCATTGGAAGCTCGTAGGTCGCCCATAGTGGGAATATGCTGCGGATGGGGTGTTCGACAGTGAACTCCCATGGTAGCTTTGAAGGAAATGAGAATATGCGACCTATGTGTAGGCGATGCGGTCAATATTGTTTTGCCCTTCGTATAGGGGAGTCGCGGGACTGCCGGATCGCGCTTTTTCTTTGCTTTAGGGAAAATTGCAACAAAGATTTCCACGCGTTTTTGCAGTCGCGGTATGATTGCAATTTTTCAGGCGATCATTGGATAGTTGAACACACCTGCAAAAAGCTCTGGGCCTTGGAAATTCTCATCGGGATGTAGATAGCTTGGTGATAGCGCGAAGTACACGCGAATCACCAATAACAGTAAATATGTTCGACGCCACATGGTTATGAAAACATGGGAACATTATTAGAAGGAATTAAAGAATGAAAATGGTAAGGAATGAAGAAAGAAAGGAGTGGAAGGGGATGGGCTAGGAAGTAAAGGTAAACGCGTATTGGACGATGATATCACAGTCTTCGTGTTAAGCGGTAAATCGAAGTGGAGTGCAATTCAATAGATCAGTCCATTAGTACATTTGTATGTGTACTCCGTATGTTGTATGTAGTATTACTGTTATATTTTAGTAGAATCATCTACGGAGTACTTCGTAGTATATATCCATTAATGTTACAGCACAATCTTTGTTAATGTGATTGATCGTATAGATCTCGTATGCACAGTATTCCATACCCTAAGATACCATAGTTGATAGATCGACAATCTTACAAAGAATACTCCGTATAATAATCCAGAACATGATTTGCCCATTGACCTAGCTGCAATTGTTTCAGCCACTGCCTGGACAATTGCTAAAACTAAATACAACAGACATCATCTGTCCGCCATTGGTTCTGGCTTAGTACAAAGTAAAGCCAGGGTTGCTTGGAGGCAGCATCCTAGGTTCCCAACGTTGATCCCCATGCGAGCCGGTTACTAGTACGTTTGTGGTCAGTTTTTAATTTCTTCAAGTTGAAAGAATGAGTCAAAACAAATATTATTTGTTATAACGTAGGCAACTGTGAGAACTAAGAAGAATTAGGACGTGGGGGACATTGGAGCCTTGTTGGCCTTATCCATGGATACCGACCGCCTTTGGTAACTCAGAACCTCATAAACCTCATCCATCTACTCGTTACATCCTCGTCATTTTCAACCTTCCTCTTTCTTCACACCTACCAACTTTGAAGACTGAACTCTCACATCTCGATAATTCTACCACACCTTTCCCGCCAACTTGTTAGTAACATCCCCGCCACTGAATCACCCCGCACTGTTCAAAAGCGACTAGCAAAGCTAACCTCACCTGAACGTTAGATTCCATCTGCAAACCATTACCATGAGCGCTATCACTCTCACCAGCTCCGATGGAGTTGACATCTCTGTTGGTAAGCATGACTTGGCAACAGGATGTTGTCGCGAGTGGCACTGACAGATTCCGAACAGAGCGCACCACTGCTGAGCGCTCCGTCCTGATCAAGAATATGCTTGAGGACCTTGGCGACTCTGGAGAGGCCATTCCCATCCCCAACGTGAGTGTCTATACCGAGGTAGTCAACATCCGGAACCTGACGCTTACATCTCTTTGTCTAGGTTAACGAGGCCGTCCTCAAGAAGGTCATTGAGTGGTGCGAACACCACAAGAGCGACCCCCCCAGCGCCAACGATGACGATGACAACCGTCGCAAGACTACCGACATTGATGAGTGGGACCAGAAGTTTATGCAGGTCGACCAGGAGATGCTCTTCGAGATCATCCTCGTACGTTTCATTTTCAGACTTGCTTTTCGGCGCACATATTGACTTCTCCTAGGCCGCCAATTACCTGGATATCAAGGCTCTCCTTGACGTCGGCTGTAAGACCGTCGCTAACATGATTAAGGGCAAGTCCCCAGAGGAGATCCGCAAGACCTTCAACATCCAGAATGACTTCACTCCCGAGGAGGAGGACCAGATCCGCCGCGAGAATGAGTGGGCTGAGGAGTAAGTGGCTACAACAGAATCCTTCGATATAACCTATGCTGACATTTATATTCTAGTCGTTAAATGGTGGTTTTGTGTCTGTTTCCTTTTTTTAAAACAGAAAATGATATCCTCCCGCTGTTTACGAAGTTTCGCAGCGTGGCCCTTGATGTCTAGCAGGGTGATTACTTTTTGGGGCGTTATTTTATTGCTATTTTTTTTTCTTGCAAGCTTGTTAGATTTGATTTGGAAAAAAATCGCTAGCCTTGCAATGACATTAGTTACAGAATCCTCTTGAATCCAGTAGCATTAGATAGCGGGGTCATAAAACCGACCCTTGCTCATATTTCACTATGACGACAATCGCCAAGTTGTAAAATATACATGCATATCAACGCAGATCCAAGGATGTACTACAAAGCGTGCGTGATACAAACAGTAACACCATCAGGAACAGACAGCATGGAAATGTTCCCCATGCAAAGTCCTGATCAAAATCTACGGCCATCAAAACCATCACAAAAAAGTAGGCAAAAGGATATTCAATTCGATTCAATCAGATTTTGTATCAAAAAAGAAAATCCCCCGCCACGCCAGTCCTACAAGCCCGCCCCCAGCAAGAAGACGATCAGCCCCAACAGCAACAGAACCTTTTGCAAACATAATCCGGGCCTGCCATCCATATCGATAAATTAGGCGTGTTGGAAATCCATCATATCCCCACTCGGAACCGTGGAGGAAAAAATGACGACCCATTGGAAGATTAAGAAAAAAAAAGATAGACACGACCCAAAGCAAGACCCGGATCAAGATTTGATAATTGAATTTTTTGTTTGCAATTGCACTCAAGAGTAGTTCCACAATCCACTAGCGCTCTCAAGTTCATGGTGAAGGCATGTTGTTCGAAATTCGGTTGTGGGCGTCACATCATGAAAAGGATTTCGGAATAATCCAAAACCCTTGAACCACCCCGCACAGACACACTTCGGTTGCCATATGACATCGCGAGCTGAACTGGGGCTTTTGAGAATGGCCGGACGGAGGGTGCGAATACTGAGGGTCCGCTTAGACCTTCAGGGTCGACTTACGCCAGTGTCGGCGCTTGGCGTTGTATCTATTTTAGCATTGTATCAGCGATATGTTCGATTCGGGTTGTGTTAAGCTGTCTATTTTCCTCCATTGTTGGGTTCGTGCGGTCGGCGGGTGGATGGTTATGTGTATTTCCCTTTCCTCTCTCGCTTTCCCGTGTCACGCTTCCCACAAATGGCGGTCGGATATATAAAGACGGATTTGGATCTCGAAATAAAGGTGCGATTTACCTGATGGTGTTGCCGGTGCGCAGACGGATCCACTGGGGGATGGGGCGGTTCTGACGCTGAGCTTTGGCAAGCTTTTGCTTGGTGCGGAAGGTCTTGTTGCTCTGTGTGGAAAAAGACGGGTTAAAATTTTGTTTCTCGATTTTTCAGAGGTCTGACTGAAGATGGAGACGGCGACGATGGCGAAAATAGGGTTCGAAAATGGCGTGAACAGGGTGGTAACATACCGGCATCTTGAAGGGTTGATCGCGACGGCGAGCTTGTTGGATGGACGGATGAAGTTATCGACCTTCGAGTGTGGATGGTTTGTGTGCGGCAGGGCTTGGCTTCGCTTCGGTTGGGTCAGGTGATGTAGAATTAGTGCCTTAGGCGGCAAGGCGGTGAGACATAAACAAACCGTAAAGTGGGTCCACGGGTCGAAGCTCTGCTGCACACTCCAGGGCTGGGAAGTAATATGATACAACTACAACTTATACAGTCTGGTATACGGTGTACATTCATGGATATGTCACGATACCTCTTTTATATTCATGCTTATCTTAAATAGCCTCCAGGATCATTATAAACACTCGGTCAACAATGCAGCCTTGCATCCTGCAATGCCCTATTTTATACTACGGTATAAGTAAGCTAGCCTTGAAAGCCTTGATTCAGAATCTCGCAAGCTATGGATAAAGCTGCCCAACTGGTAATACTCGCAAGAATACTTATCGTTGATCATCAGCAAGATTATAGAACTGGAGCAATACAAGAACCACAGCACAAAGACACACAAATTCATGTATGATCTCATTAGGCCAATGCCGCAGTGATCAACCCATATGCAATAGAATCAAGTTGCCGTTCTTCCTCAGGGAACCGTGGAATAACAGACAAAACTGCTTCATTGAAGCCAGTAAAGAACTGCTGGGCTAATAACGCAGCACTTTCAAAGGCAGGAGGATATGCACCGGCATGCGCCCAGTCAATCAGCCACACTTCTCCATTGCGGTCTAGGATCAAGTTTCGAGGACTTATGTCTTGATGAGTAAGGACAAAGGTGGTGAATCGAAATGGCGGGATATCTTTAGGACATTGGTTCACGTGCTTACAGATATCAAGCTTGTGGTTAAACCAGCCTTGAACTTCAGCACTGTCCTTGAACGGACCGGCGCTATAATCAGTAAAGAACCGGCCACGAAATGACCCGCCACCAAGAGGACCTGGCTGCGAGATTACAACAGACTGCATTTCTTTGATCATATCCGCAATCTGCATAGCAATTTGCCTTTGGTTGTCGTAAGGTAGGTCGGTCCAACACTCATCGAGGGGTTGGCCTGAGATAAAATCCATCACGATATATCCCTTCGTTCCAAAATACTGCGTCTCATCTTCGACTTGGAATGAACGATGAACTCGTGGAGCTCGAATGCCGGTTTTGGAGGCGACGAGATTGAGCGTCTTTGCTTCGCATGGTAGGACACTGCCGCCACCTTTCATCACCAAGTGCCGTGAGAGGCGCACAACTTTTGTGGCGCCAAGGTGGTGCAGCACCGGAGCAGACTCAAGAAGAGCTACTAGAGTCTCATCTGTGACGGAGTCAAGGTCCTTTCCGTCTAGCGGGAAGCCCCCCTCTAGATCACGACTGTGGGGCTGTAGATGAGACTGTTAGTAAATAGTATTTAAAGAAGAAATTATGACATACATCGGAAAGTGGACACATCATTGGCTCCATTTTTTGCTGCTTATCGACAATGATTGTCGAATCTCCCTGCCTAGGTGGTTGGAGAAATCTGATTGATTCTAGATGTGAATCTAGTAAGGCCTTGCAAGTAGTAAATAGAGAAATGGGAAGCACTTGAATGAGGACTTAGGCATGAGCCAATCAACGTGAGCTCGCTTGGCACGCGAATTGTCTTGGGTACCTACATTTGTTTTTCTGCCTTGTCACATCCCTGGAAAATCGTTGAGATCACAACCTCTAGGTGCATGATGTGTTCGTGCCATCGGGCATGTCTCAACTTTCAAAATGCTTCTTATTAAATCTCAACCTCAAATGCTTCCTCTTTACTATTAACACACCCGAGAATCAATAGAAAACACTTATCTGCCTGAATCATGCCATCAGTTCTTATTCGGAATTCTGTTATGCAAGTTCCTCGTTCAACTTGATGCCTTGGTGTAAAATCGAGCGCAATTAAATTGCGGAACCGGACGACATATGTATAGCTGCCTGGATAAACGGAGAAGATTGGTATATCCTTCGGCATGTAATATCCGAGCAACCACTACATACTATGCCTGTAAACTCGCACGATGTCTGTTTGACCTACCAGGGGGGTACCCTGTCGGTAGTATGGGCTATTGGAAATAAGACTATCTGTAAAGTCTATCCCTAGAGCTCCGGCACCACCTTAGAGAGCGAGACCATTAATTTTGTCCAAGAAAATGCACCCCAAGTACCCGTACCTAAAATGATCTACTCCTAGGTGGATACAACTCGGTCATTCTTGGTGTTGAGAAAAGTTTCGTGTATAACGCTGAGAGACGCTTGGGGGACTATGTCCACTACCGAACAACATTCGATCTTGAATGCGGTTGTTCATATGTGCGATATACTAGCTTCTATTACATTGAAATGACCCCAGAACGTACGTGGAGTTCCAGTGTTGGAGCGTTACCCTGCTCACTCGGAACGGGATTCATTGGAGCCGTTAAGTATGTCTAAGAGCAAGAAATATTTCTCTCGGGAGGATCTTCATCCGAACCCGGATATTGAAGAGCGGTTTTCTCTTATCACTCCTATGGGGTTATGAGGCCCCTTTCTCTCCGATCCATCCCACGTCAGCCTATGAGCACATAATGTTGCTACGCAGAAGATACAGGCAGATAGCTAGTAGCCTAACCATCTAAAGTATAGCATAGTAGTGACATTCTACGTATCGAAAGAGATGAGGTAGTAAAAGCATCAATTTAGAGGCGTCCCAAGTGGTAGAAAGAAGAAGGAAAACACAAAGATGAAATTAAAACCAATCGGAAAAATCCAGGCAAGGCATCTTCCATGTTTTACTATGATCTACGAAACATAGAGAGCCATGATGATTGCTATCAGAGTACTCTGTACGGAGTAAGGATGTACTATATGGCCCTAAGCTCACTGGTTGTATGCGCCTTGGTCAAGTGCGAGTGGGGTCTTGTCTGGCCACAACTTGAGGATTTTATTTTGAGTGAAGAGATTAATTTAGTCATTTGTCCAGTATTATCAGCCGACGACATTTCCGAAGTCATATTTCTCTCGTCCATGTTGGATGATTGTATTATGAACATGGCGAACTAGAAGCTCTGGTACGATGTCGAGGACGAAATGTGGATGAGCAGTTTTTGTGACTCGATATGACCATTTCGAAGTAATTAGGATGGCTTTGGAGCCTCTCCGAAGGACATACAACATAACTCGTAGTGTAACTTGGTTGACAATCCGAACGAATGTTTTTGGGAATGTACTGGCAGAGGCACCTGGGTAGGCACAAAGTGAAGGTGAAATTCCGACATGATTAAGACAAACAGATCTACATTATAATGAACTTAACGTAGATCTACCTAGGTACTTCCAACCTTCCCAGGTGGATTACTGTTTTTACGTTATCCCAGTCAGACATGGATGGATCAAGGATAAGTAGTTACCTATATAGGTAATAAAGGCCGTTGTACGGAATAGGTAAAAGGGCCTAATTTAGTACGTTGTAGTCAAAGCGTCGGATATCGGACATCGGACCTAAAGGTAGCCGATTGCCATGGATCAAAGTGGAATATGTAATCCATACAAAAGGGTCCAGATCAGGGTGGAGCGCATATGCGGATCAAAATTCGGACGAAATTCTACCCCGTACGCACTGGAGTGTACAACATACATGAATGAGTCAGTTCTTCGTATTCGTTTTCGGGTTGCGCGTCATCATGATGTGGCTCGTGTAGACCCATCCTTCCCTGTGCGTTGGGGTTACATTATGTACGGAGTACATATGGAAGGAGTGTGTATTTATGTACTATGTAAGTGCCATATGCACCAATCATACTGGACCTGCGTCAAACATGGAGTAAAACAGCTCGTGGCTGTCACGTCGTGTTCTCAAAGGGGCGCGTTCGAGGGATGCCCTTGCACAAGGAATGTGATAGGAATGTACGGAGTACAGTCCTGTATAAAAACAGGTTTAGCACCTGACATCCATGTAGTAGAAGCGAGATAGGACCAATATAATCTATCCTGTTTGTAAATTGTAAATTGTAAATTGCAAATTGTAAATTGCAAATTGCAAATTGCAAATTGCCAAAATTGCATAAAGGCAGGTCGGAGTTCGGACTACCCGACCCACCAAAAAAAACTAGGCTCCCCTCTCAAGTATAATCTAAGACAAGACACCCGGGATATTATTTAGATCTCTCATCCCTTCGCCCCCTTTTGTTAATCATTACTACTCTTTAATTTAATTTGTCTTACCTCCCTTAATATTCTTTTTCATCTGGCTATCGCTTTGATTCGTCTCTTCAGATATCACCTCTTCAACCTCTTCACATCATTCCTCACCAATTTATTCATGGAGTAGACATTCAAACTTCCCCAAAACTTTCAACATGCAGCAGCCCGAGGAGGGTGTGACGGCCGTCGAGAAGGTGGTGGAGGACCCTCAGCTTAACGAGAAGCCCATAAACAAGCGCGATTCCGATTCCGCTTCCACGTCAACAGCAAAGGAACACGAAACCAAGACCCCAGTCGCGACAGACGACGATGCTATCTATGCTCACTTACCCGAACATGAAAAGGACATCCTGAAACGACAGCTAGATGCGCCTCTCGTCAGCATCTCCTATTTCGGTCTCTATCGATATGCCTCCCGTATGGACATACTCATCATTGTCATCTGTACACTCTGCGCCATCGCCGCAGGTGCTGCCTTGCCCCTCTTCACCATTCTGTTTGGCTCCTTGGCCACGGCTTTCCAAAAGATTATGCTGCGCACCATTCCTTACGATCAATTCTACCACCAGTTGACCAAAAACGTCTTGTACTTCATCTACCTCGGCATCGGAGAGTTTGTCACCGTTTACATCAGCACCGTTGGCTTCATCTATACAGGAGAGCATGTCACCCAAAAGATTCGAGAGCACTACCTCGAAGCCATCCTGCGCCAGAACATCGCCTACTTTGACAAGCTTGGTGCAGGTGAAGTGACTACCCGTATCACAGCCGACACCAACCTCATTCAGGATGGTATCTCCGAAAAGGTCGGTCTAACCCTTACCGCCATGGCCACCTTCGTGACTGCCTTCATCGTTGCATACATCAAGTATGCTCCCTTGGCTGGCATCTGTACTTCAACCATGGTCGCGCTGGTTTTGATCATGGGCGGAGGCTCCCAACTGATCATCAAGTATGGCAAGCTTTCCCTGGAAAGCGCTGGTGCCGGTGGAACTGTGGCGGAGGAAGTCATCAGCTCAATCCGCAATGCGACTGCATTCGGTACTCAGGACAAGCTCGCGAAGCAGTACGAATCTCACTTGCTTCGCGCAGAGCGCTGGGGCATGCGCCTGCAAATGAGTCTCGCAGTGATGGTCGGTATCATGTTCGGACTCATGTTCATGAACTACGGCCTCGGATTCTGGATGGGCTCCCGATTCCTGGTGCAAGGTAAGGTTGATGTCGGACACGTTTTGACCATCTTGATGGCTATTCTTATTGGATCTTTCTCCTTGGGCAATGTCAGCCCGAATGCCTCGGCATTTACCAATTCCGTGGCTGCCGCAACCAAGATCTTTGCGACTATCGACCGCGAATCCCCGCTCGACCCTACGTCCGATGAAGGTATCATCCTCGACCACGTCGAGGGTCACATCGAGTTCCGCAATGTGAAACACATCTATCCCTCCCGCCCCGAAGTTACAGTTATGAAGGACGTTTCCCTCGCCATTCCTGCTGGTAAGGCTACCGCACTGGTCGGCCCTTCAGGCTCCGGTAAGAGTACTGTCGTCGGTCTTGTGGAGCGGTTCTATCTTCCGGTCGGCGGTCAAGTGTTCTTGGACGGCCATGACATCCAGACTCTCAACCTGCGATGGCTACGCCAGCAGATCTCACTGGTCAGCCAGGAACCTGTTCTATTCGGCACAACCATCTACCAAAACATTCGCCATGGTCTCATTGGAACACGCTTCGAGCATGAGTCCGAGGAAAAGATCAAGGAGCTCGTTGAGAATGCTGCCAAGATGGCCAACGCTCACGACTTCGTTACTGCTCTTCCGGAAGGTTATGAGACCAACGTCGGCCAGCGTGGATTCCTGCTATCTGGAGGCCAGAAGCAACGTATTGCCATCGCTCGTGCTATGGTCAGCGACCCCAAGATCTTGCTTCTGGATGAAGCTACCTCCGCTCTCGACACCAAATCTGAGGGTGTCGTCCAGGCAGCGCTTGATCGCGCCGCTGAGGGCCGTACCACCATTGTCATCGCCCATCGTTTGTCAACCATCAAGTCTGCGCATAACATTGTTGTCTTCGTGAACGGATCCATTGTTGAGCAGGGCACCCACACTCAACTGACTGAACATGACGGTCCTTACTTCAAGCTTGTTGAGGCTCAGCGCATCAATGAGGAGAAAGACGCAGATGCTTTGGATGTGGATGAGGATGAGGATGAGGATAGCATCGACAACATGACCAAGTCTCACATCGCACGTGTCAAGTCAATCGCTAGTGGCTCGACTGGCATGAAGGATGAGGCGGAAACACTCCAGGACGCCATGCATCGCCAGGAGTCTCGCAAGTCCGTGTCCAGTGTTATTCTCTCGCAGAAGACTACTGAAGGTGGCAAGAAGCACTCGCTCTTAACTCTGATCAAATTTATCGGCTCGTTTAACAAGGATGAGCGGTGGTTCATGGCCACCGGTCTTTGCTTCTCGATTCTCGCCGGTTGTGGTCAACCCACTCAAGCCTTCTTGTATGCCAAAGCTATCAGCTCACTTTCCTTGCCCCAAAGCCAGTGGGAAAAGCTAAGATCCGATGCCAACTTCTGGTCCTTGATGTTCTTCATTGTTGGTATCGTTCAAATCATCACTTTCTCGGCCCACGGTATTGCGTTTGCCTTTAGCTCTGAGAGACTGATCCGCAAAGCCCGTAGCAGTGCTTTCAGAGTCATGCTCCGACAGGATATCAACTTCTTTGATCGTGAGGAGAACAGCACCGGTGCTTTGACTTCTTTCCTATCAACCGAAACCAAGCACTTGGCCGGTATCAGTGGTCAAACTCTTGGAACAATTCTTATGACTTCCACAACCCTCATCGCTTCGATTGTGATCGCGCTTTCTTTCGGGTGGAAGCTTGCCCTCGTTTGCATGTCTGTCATTCCGATTCTCCTCGGTTGTGGCTTCTACCGCTTCTACATGCTTGCCGCATTCCAGGCACGTTCCAAGGTAGCCTATGAGGGATCAGCTAGCTACGCCTGCGAGGCTACATCTGCCATTCGCACTGTGGCTTCGCTTACCCGTGAGTCCGATGTCTGGGCATTCTACCACGGTCAACTCGAACACCAGGGTCGCATAAGCTTGATCTCGGTATTCAAGTCATCGTCCTTGTATGCAGCATCCCAGGCCTTGGTCTTCTTCTGCGTCGCCCTTGGCTTCTGGTATGGTGGTACCCTGCTCGGTCACCATGAATATGACGTGTTCCGCTTCTTCGTCTGCTTCAGTGAAATCTTGTTCGGTGCCCAATCCGCTGGTACGGTGTTCTCCTTCTCCCCTGACATGGGCAAGGCCAAGAACGCCGCCGCCGAGTTCCTTAGGCTGTTCGAGCGTCGCCCCACCATTGACACATGGTCTGAAGAAGGCGAGAATTTGGAGCATTGCGAAGGAACTATCGAGTTCAAGGACGTGCACTTCCGCTACCCTACCCGTCCCGATCAGCCCGTGCTCCGCGGTTTGAACCTTACCGTCAAGCCCGGCCAGTACATCGCCCTGGTCGGACCCAGCGGATGCGGCAAGAGTACCACCATTGCCCTTCTCGAGCGTTTCTATGATGCCCTTTCCGGTGGTGTCTACGTGGATGACAAGAACATCGCCGACCTCAATGTCAATTCCTACCGCAGCCACCTGGCGCTGGTCAGTCAGGAGCCCACTCTCTACCAGGGTACAATTAAGGAGAATATCCTGCTCGGTAGCCCCAACGCCGACCCCACCGAAGAGGACCTAGTCCAGGTCTGCAAGGACGCCAACATCTACGATTTCATCATGTCTCTGCCTGAAGGCTTTAACACTGTCGTCGGTAGCAAGGGAGGTATGTTGTCCGGTGGCCAAAAGCAGCGTGTCGCCATCGCCCGTGCTCTCCTTCGCAACCCCAAGGTCTTGCTTCTAGATGAAGCCACCTCCGCCCTTGACTCTGAGTCTGAGAAGGTCGTTCAGGCTGCTCTGGACGCTGCTGCACGAGGCCGTACCACCATCGCCGTTGCCCATCGTCTCAGCACAATTCAAAAGGCCGATATCATCTACGTCTTCGACCAAGGCAAGATTGTCGAGAGCGGTACTCACACCGAGCTCTTGCGCAACAAGGGTCGTTACTTCGAGCTGGTCAACCTCCAGTCCCTTGGCAGGGCCGGCTAATTCCCTTAATCTGCTTCTTTTTACATGTACACATACCCCCTTGTCACTTTTTTGATCCTATCTCATATTCCTCGCCATTTCCTCCATATCTCAAATCTCCCTTCAACCTCCCCATTCTTGTGATAGATCATTTGTTATCAGCGGCCGTAACCCACAAACACGGGGTACACTGTCTCCCTTCGATAATGCAAAAAAGCAAAAAAAAAACATCCATTAGGGATGTAGGATTAGATGAATGAATACAATGAATCTCAATTCAACGCCACCCAGTTTCACTCCAAACCCCACGCACTCGGTCCAACGCCTTAACCATTTCAAGTCCTTTCAAACAGTGGAACCCTTGCAGTGTAGTGTTGCCCTTCAATCCTCCCCTGAAACCCCAAACTCCTTCTCTACCTCAATTTGCCTCACCCCCCTCGCATCAGCAAGTAACCCCATCAACCCCTGCCCAACATCCTTGATGTCATTATATTCATGTAATAGCTGGGTATAGCGCTTGCATGTAGTATTTGGATCGTCACTAGAATAAGCAGTGGTTAGAGATGCAAGATGGAATGTTTCCATATTCTTTTAGAGCTGTGTCCTGTGTAGCCTGCGTGCAATTGGAGAAATTGGGAAGTATTACATGAGCTGGGTGGTCACCGAAGTTAAACTGGCTTCGAGCTCCATATGCTTAGCTTCTAGACTTGCAATCGAAGCACGAAGGGCCGCCTGTGTTGAGTGTTAGCTCTTGATATGATGGACACGGGTGGGTGCATGGTGAGGGGTCACTGGTGAGGGGTCACTGGGAACGTACTATTCGCTGCTGGTCTCTGTAGGACTTTGTTTCTTTGGCTAAATCCATGTAGATTGTCTGCAATAAAGTGCATATGCATATGTGTTGTGATACGTCATATGCAAGAGACGAGAGGATTGTAAGAAGAAGAAGTTATTGTACTTTGTACCCCAAAATTATATACTCCTGACCAATCATAGCCAAGCTGAATAATCCAGCTCAAGGCTTCCAAGGTTTCTGCGTGAGTGTCCCTCATTTTTGCTGTGAAGTTTTTTGAATTCTTAAATAGCCAAATGATAAATTAACTAAATAACTTAACTACTCTCGAATATACTCCTGAAGATCAAAAAGACATTGTTGTCCTGACTCCACGCGTCGGTCCCGCCTAATCGGATGCCCCGGATTGGGTTACCTGTTATCCGCATCTGTTCTCTTCTCCCTTTCAACTCCCTACCCCAACAAAATGGCATATCTTCGTCAGTCCTTATGGACGGTGTTTGTATTGGTTGCCTCGGCTCTCGCCCATGGCGGCCATGAGGCTGTTCCTGAGGGCGAATCTATCTCCAAGGATCCCATCGTACGTGGCCTACTACGCTATTCCCCTCGCAAAAAGTTAACAAATGATTCCAGGACTCAACGCTATGGACTCATATGATTCTCATGGGTTTGGCGTTTGGCATTATCTTCCCAACGGGAATGGTTCTCGGAGTATGTACTGCTCCACTCGCCTCTCCGTTTATTTCCTACCATCACATCCATCTCTAACATAAGAAAATAGATAACCCGCTCTCGCTGGCACGTTCCCGTACAAGTCGTCGGCACCGTCATCGCCGTGCTAGCCTACTTCCTCGGCCATGCCCACAAAGGTCGCCAATTCGATAAGAACCTCCACGCCTCCGTCGCAAACTGGCTGATGTTTTTGCTGGTCGCGCAAGTCGTCCTCGGAGTGTATCTCAAGCTACACCTGGAGAAGGCGGGCCAGGCCCGCATTCGGTGGATCTTCGTTCTGGCCCATGGCATCGTCGGCAAGGTCATGCCCGTCCTCAGCTGGGCGCAGATGCTATTCGGTGGCATTGCCGCGCTTGGCTTCTGTCGCGATGATCACCTCGGTCAGTGTCTAGCCCATTTCATTATGGGCTCCGCATTCATCGCCTATGGTATTTGCTTGACCATCCTCTTGCTTGTCGGCCAGTATTGGTTGCGCCGTACCGGCCGCAGTCAGGAATTCTTCGATTCACTCATCATCGCCGCTTGGGGTTGTGTCAATACTTTCACCGAGCACCGCTGGGGTACGCCTTGGGTTCACAATGACCTCCAGCATACCACTATGGGAATTGTCTGGTGGTGTGCTGGTCTCCTGGGTATGTGGCTCAGCCGTACCCGCAGCGGCCGTCCTAAGCGTAACCTCATTCCGGCCATTGTCATCTTGATGACTGGCTATGCCATGTCCGCTCATCCCCAGCAGCTGATGATCAGTACCATGGTTCACACCCTCTTTGGGTATACCCTGATGGCGGCGGGTCTGACACGCATCATTGAGATCTCGTTCGTGCTGAGGGATAAGCCTGCTCTTTCCGAGCCGAACAGCTTCCAATATCTGACTCCCTTCGTATGTCTCCTCTCTGGTTAATCTGGTATATGTAGGATGATACTGACTTACTTCCTCTCCAGTTGCTCTATGCCTCCGGCTTCCTCTTCATGGGCGCCACCGAGGAACAGATGCTCCTGCTGCACAACGCAGGCATCACCCACGTGGCCTACATCTTGATCCTCTACAGCATCGCCTTCCTCCTCTTCCTCTGTAAGTTGATTCCCTGATCAGCAATTTCGTTTTCCAGAACATCCACTCATTCATCTCTTGTAGTCGTCAACATTCTCCTTCACATCTACGCTGTCCACGCATGGCCCAACTCCGAGTCCACCAACCAGGACGGCCCTATCTATTCCACTCTCAACGGAAATGCGAATGGTCGCGCACGCTCAAACTCGCAGCAGATCCAAGATGCCGAGGCATTCGAGCTCCATGGCTTGATTTCCGATGATGAGGAGGGTCCTTCTATGGGACCACGGAAGAACAGTGATGAGGAGCTTGGAAAAGATGAGGCCCATCACTGAGGCCTTGCATTGATTCACTGATTTCCCTCGCAAGTATATCGTGCATTTTGTGCTCCTGTGTTAAGACGGCGTCCGGGTTGGGTTGGGTTCAAATAGCATTGCAGGCTCTAAATGGCCTTGAGAATAAGTAGCTAATATTATATCTGACAAAATTGTACATAATTCCCAATTTCATAAAAGTATCAATGGCTGCTCATGTTCTATCGTACATAATGACACCCAGATCTAGGTCTGGGCTTATTGGAATCTGTTGAAAAAAAGAGATTCGTTATGATGCTAAAAGAGCATATCTCAGTCCAATCCCCCCACCACTTGTCGCCCTTGGTTTTTTTCCAATTGAATTTCCCTCACAAATCCCCAGTAACAGGAACCGTAACCGGGTTCCTAACCGGCGGCACAGCAGCCATCTCCACAGACCCAACATCAGGGAAGAAAGGATGAAGCGAATAAATCGGACCAACGCTCTTCTCCCCATCAAACAGTAACATATTCTGCAGTGGCTGCTCCCTCGCCGAAAGAACATTAATAACATCCTGCGCCAGCGAACCGCCCAGGAATGCTGCAACAGGACTCAGCTCGCTGCCCAGGTTCTGCAGGAACGTCCGCAGGAACACAGAGTCGAGTGTGAGTGGCTCCAACTTCAGTTCCTGGTGTCTGTCGCGAGATAGCTTTGTGAATAGTTCCAGGTCTTCATGGGTGAAGGTCGGGCGGTGGCCGCGTAGTTTTTCAAATTCCCACAGTGCGCGCAGGCAGCTGAGTAGTGGGGTGACTTGCTTGCGGCGCCTTGCGAGTCGTGTGTACTCTTCCGGTAGTGGGGAGGTGTTCGCGAGAATTAGTGGTGAATACACCTCGCGCTTGGTGACTAGCTCGATGATCTTATTTGGTTCTTTCTTGTTGGCATTGCTTTCTTCCTTTTTGGTGGTTATGTCGATAATACTGCGGGTGGGTGTTTCTTGGGTTGCGGGGGCCATGTTAGATTTGTTGCGCTCGATCACAAAGTCGTGGCTGATTAGATCGGCGAAAACATAGCCATAGAAGCCGTGTAGACCGGCGGCGTAGAAGGGTCTATTGGCTAGTCGACAGGCAGCGTTCACGGTAGTGTTGGTTAGGAAATCGAGCTCTGTGGCGATTGTGATGTCGAACTGCGCGAAGAAGTCGGGTTGTTTGGTTTTGACATCGGAAGTGTCGATATGGAGCTTGACTCGAGGGTTCATTTTGTGGATTTGCGGTCCTGCGACTTGCGCGCGCTGGAGTGAGCTGTTAGCCGATGTCTGTGGATATTCTGCTCCAGCTCTAGCTCACGTTCTTTCCAATCACATCCTGCTCACTTTGTCCTTCAGCGATGAAGAACTGCGCGCCCAAGTCCTCCTCTGTGACGTCCTGGTGGTCGATTATGGTGAGTGATCCGATGCCTGCAAGGACGAGGTTTTTGGCCACTTCATTCGCAAGAGCTTTCACAGTGATGAGAAGGATGTTCGCCGATCGGATTCTGGCTGTTGTTAGAATATGTGGGTGTTTTGCAAGCTGGTTTGCTCACTTTTCTTGCGCGTGCACTCCCCACAGCCGGATCTGTCGGTCGTACAGCGCAATTTCATCTAGCAAAGTTAGTAGGAATTGGGTTAGGTTCTACTGATTGGCCATACCAGCGCTGATTGACTGTGCATTATCTTGTTGCTCTGCCATAGTGTCGATCGAGTGGTTGAGCTAAGAGTACAACCTTGGCTAGGTGCGAGCTTGGCGATTTGAAGCCTCGCAGTTGTGTTTCGGGGAATTTGATATTGAGTGAGAAGTAGTGAGTTAGTGATTTAATGAATGTGTAATGAAAGTGGGAGTTGTGAAGTTCCAGAAGGTCCAGAAGGTCCAGGTCAGGAAGTTCAGATGGGTTTAAATGTCAGGTGACCCGGGAGCTACTATGTGGGGCCGTGGGGACAAGGAAGTATACACCTGGGCAACTGTACAAAGTGTGCAGACAAGCAATATCTCATTGATTCATAATATATTCATTTGAAAATAGAGTATATCAGCTAGTTTAGAATATGGTAGAATGAAAAGAATACGCTCAATACTATGAGCAAAGGTAATTTAAGTGTACGTGATTCAATGTTTTTATAGATCACTAAGCTACAAAGAAAGGCTATAGATCAAGTCAACATATAAAGATTTGCCTAACACACAACTCAACTAGCTAACATTACCAAGCCGTATATTGTATATTCTGACTCCGTTTAACGAATGATATACTACAATACTTTAGACCATGTTTGCGGAACCTCCCTTCCTTATATTGCCCATATAGGCTTTTGAGCAACAGTTAGGTTGAAGATGCCATCATATCTGCTAGATGAGGTCGGGCTTTCACATACATCTAAAAGATATTTAAAAGGCTAGCTTGAAAGACCAGCTGAAAAAGACATTGCAAGACCGCATAAGCGGCCGAATATTCCTGTCCTTTGTTATGGAAAATAATGAGGTCAAAGAGCAGGTTAAGTGACACAACTGACTATCAGCACATGCCCGATAAAGGAGTCTTCACGAAAGAAAAAAAAAGTAATGCAAAATGAAAACAGCCAGATCAATTCATGAAATCTGTGAAATGAACTTGTAGGCCCCCAACCTTCGTGAACTCCACTATCGATGATCTAATCGACCATCACGTGTTATCAACTTTGGGCAA